ACCTAGGCTACAACGCTCCTAGCACTTGTGGGAGGTAGCAAATAAGGTTTTAAGGAAAAGAACTTTGTGTTCGAACTCGTGCTAAACCTTTACCCAAACACTCAACCTTTTCCTTCCCAATTGTTTCTGTTTTCCCATATAATATTAATCTTTTCGTAGGATTATTATTTTTGGGAATTTTCAACCATATTACCCAACAAGTAATACATCGAGGATAAAAGAAAAATTTATATAATTAAAATTGATCATTAATTAGTTCCAATAAACCCACATTTGGCCAAATAAAGTTAGATCATAAATGCACAACATAAAAGTAGGATGAACCCTGTAGCCTAACTTCAGCAGTAAAAATAAAAAAATAAAATAAAATAAAATAATAAATAAATAAATAAGTTGTTTTTGCTAGAGAGAAACCAAATAAAAATTCAATTTGATGGATTCTTCTCAAGAAGTGCCTGCAAAATTTATTTTTGAATTTTAGGTGAATCATAGAAAAAAATGTTTAACACTGTATCCAACTCTTCAACACTAGATAAAACAAAAAAATATTAAAAATAAAAATAAAACAATATGCACCATATTATTAAAACACAATTGAGAATGCTCAAATGAAGATCACATAGAAAAACACAATTGCATGTAAAACGACAACCTAAAGCATCAAGTGATACCATACCTTCTGATTTTTCACAGCTTCACCTTTTAAAATATCTTCATCCTTATGGCTTGTTAGATTACTTAGTAGATCTCTGAAGAAAAAAAAAGTGGTAGAATCAAGTTACAAAGTACATGACCATTTGCAATTTAGAAACTCAAATATATCCTTTTAAATAAGCTTTCCCAAGTTAGCAATTTGGTATTTACCAAAAATGATAAAGAAACACAATATCATGTAGGACCAATCTCAGAGGGGGAGGAAAGGAGGGGGGGTGGGGGGGGGGGGCAAAGGCAAAGAAAAACCTCTATTTGACATTTTTTTCTTCTGTAAATGTTCATGAAGGAATATCCATGTCCTGAACTAGACAGCATCTAAAGAGAAGATTGTAGTAAATTTGATATATTTCTTCTACAAACTAGAAATTTATCACCTCGTTGAAGCTGGAGAACTCAGCTTAAATCTCTCCAGTCTCCACGAAATCCGTAGTCGCTTGAGTTGTAAGAAGGAGAGAGATTCATCTACAATCCGCAAATTGACAAAAATCACAAAGGGCTCGTTTGATTGGCGAAAATATTTTAAGGGAAGTGGAATTGGAATTCCATGAAAAACAATAAGAAGATGAATTTCATTGTTTGGTTGGTGGAAAAATAATTACTGGGAATACTAATTCTATTATTAGGTTAGATTTGGAATTGTAAGGAATAACGAGTATAAAGACCTATATGCCCCTACAAATTAATTAAAGTAATATAATTAAAAAAAAAAGGTAAACAAGGGTAAAATAGACATTCCATCTCACTTTTTTTTTTCCATCTTCCATGGAAAACAAAATCCTTGGTCCAACCAAGAATTTTGTTTTCCTCAAATTTGAGGAATTCATTTTCCATAAAATGAATTCCATGAACCAAACACAAGAAAACAACATTTTTCTCCACTTTAAGGTTGGAAAACATTTTCCATGAACCAAACATCCCCAAAGAAGGAAAACATTTTCCATGAACCAAACATCCCCGAAGTGAAAAGCGAGAAGGAGAGAGAGGCAGATATAGCAGAAGATAATGAATAAAGTAAAGAATAGTGACAACTAGCCTACACTAAAGTTATACAAAATTATACGAAACCTGACGCACCTCACAGCCGCCGATTTAAGGTCGACATGCACTCCGAATCGAACTCATCGTGGATTTATTGATAAAAAGCTCATTCATTAACCGTATCAAATCACAAAGTGAAAAGCGAGAGGTATAGTAGAAAGTCAGAATACATTCTCATTCTATTCTATATGACCGTATCAAATCACAAAGTGAAAAACGTCTATAGCTCTGATACCAAAACATCAAATCACAAAGTGAAAAACGTCTATAGCTTTGATACCAAAACGTGGACCGTAGTAGAGATTCGAACCCATAACCTTTGGTCTGGCTCTGATACCAAATTGAAACATGTATTCCATCTCAACTAAAAGCCTAAGCTGATAGTTAAATTGCACATTAATGGTAATATGCTCAACACGCCCCCTCACGTGTGCAGTGGGTTCAAAGCAACACGTGAACCCATGACTTTTAGTCTGGCTCTGATACCAAATTGAAGCATGTGCTCCATCTCAACTAAAAGCCTAAGCTGATAATTGGATTGCACATTAATGGTTATATGCTCAACAGCACCAAGCTGCCTTTATTATAGTATGCCTTCCATTAAGCCGCCTTGTTTCCGCCATCCCCATCCTTAGGAGAGACCGCCTGGTTTCCGCCATCCTCATCCGAGAAGAACTTCAGGAACGTCAAGTTGCTTCGATGAAGACATATATGGCCTCTGTATAGACCTGAACAGCACTGATCCACTTGCTGAGCTCCTCCAGAAATTTTAACATCACATCAACACTATCCTTTGCAACAAGGGCGACTGCTTTCATTTGGCGTAAGACATTGCTGCCAAGCGATGGTGCCAAGTGAGGTACGGAAGCCAAACCGACCAACTGATGGTCTAATCCACTTGCTGAGCTCCTTCAGAAATTTTAACATCACATCAACAATGTCTTTTGCAATAAGGGCGGCTGTTTTCACTTTGCGTAAGACAATACCGCTAAGCGATGGTGAAGGTGGTGGCTGAGCGGCCAACTGAGGTCTGATCCACTTGCTGAGCTCCTTCACATCAACACATGGCTTCGGTATACACCTGAACAACACTGATCAACTTGTTGACCTCCTCCAGACATTGTAACATCACTTCAACAATATGCTTTGCAACCAGAGCCGCTCCTTTCATCTGGCTTAAGACATTGCGACCAAGTGATATTGTCAAGTGTGGTACGGAAGCCAAACCAGGTCTGATCCACAAGCTTAGGTCATTCAGAAGCTTTAACATCAGATCAACAGTGTCGAGGACCGCTGTTTTCACTTTGCATAAAACAATGAGGCCAAAAGATGGTGGAGGTGGTGGCTGAGCGGCAGATTCAGGTATGATCCACTCGCGCTCCTTCACATCAATACTTTGCTTTGCAATTTCGACTGCTGCTTTCATGTGACGTGAGACAATGTGGCTAGGAGATGGTGGACGTGATGGTTGAGCAGCCAAGTCAGGTAAGGAAGCCACACCGGCCAAGGGAGCCAAATCCGGATTTCGAGGCATTTTGAAAATTCGTCAACTGAGTTTTGACCACTTACTCCACTTAGTGTGTGTGTGTATATATATATATATATATATATATATATATATATATATATATATATATATATATATAGTTTTGAGTTGTGCTTGGAAATTGATTTTTTTTTTTTTTGTTTTTGTTTTTTGTGTTTTGAGTTGCACTTTAGTTTCTCTGTGGAGTTTTACATAATTCCTTAGTACCCATTGAGCGAATATGTGTTTTTTTAGTACCCACTGAGCGCCCTACGTGCATTCAAGCGTGTAGAATTTTTTTTTTCTTTTTTGACAAAAAACACATATCCATAGCCACTTATTTAAAATAGTAACCCGAATAACATCACATTACGCTTATTTTCTTAATTAAAAAAAGCAAAAAGTCCCAAAATTTTGAAATTTAAAAGTTTTTTAAATAGCAAGTATTATGGAAGAATCGATAATTTCAAAAAAAAAAACAGTTGCATGTGGAGACAGTTTTTAAAAAGTCTAAGGCATAAAAAGGTTACTATAACATGCAAAGGCAGAAAGCTATAGATCATTATTATTAAAGTAGTTAAGGACGACAACTATTTTTTGTTGGTCTGAATTCTGAAACAAGGTTCAATCCTTCTCATTCCTAAATGCTCCCTATTTATTAATTAAATCTTTAAAATTTTAATGCCTTCGACAAAAAGCCAAATTTTAATGCGGCGATGATTAAAGAAGGAGAAGAGTAAATTTTACTCTTCACTCTCTTAATTATTACGTTAAAAATGTTCAATGAGTTAATTTCATTTTTAATTTTAAATTTATAAATAACAGTTAACTTTTAGTTATATTTTATTAGAACATTCTTTTTTGGTCATAGTATTACTGTGACATAATTAATTTTGACCCTCTATCAACAAAATTATTAAAATTGTATTAAATACAAGAGCATTATTTCAAAAAATAAACATAAAATATATAACAGGTCAACGCACTTTGTATTAAAAAGATCAAATGTCCTTCTATTTAACGAAATTTTAACGATTTTATTGATAGAGGACCAAAATTAGTCATGTCACAATAATACTATGATAAAAAAAATGAATGTTTTAATAAAAAAGACTAAAAGTAAACTGCCACCTATAAATCTAAGACAAAAAATGAAATTAACTCAATGTTTAATTATCAACTTTGATTTAATTTATTTTTCATCGTTAAATTTATAATAAGTATTTTACTATTTATTTAAAATGTCAAAAATATAGTTTTAATACCGTTAGATAACCTTTTCAACATGAGAGAATTTTAAATCATGATTTACTGTCAAACGTCTTGTGTTCAGATGTTATGTATACAATTTGTATAGGTAGTTTAATTGGTCACAAAAATAAAATTTATTACAAAAAAATTTAAAATTAAGTCACCATGATTTACCACTCGTCAAACTGTTCAAGGATTGCTTAGTAAGGAAAATATTATATGTACTCTCATTTTATACTCCTAACTTGTACTCTTGTATATAAAACTTTGATGTAGACATTTGAATTGAGACCACATAAAAAAAAAAAACTTATTAGTGTCTGTCATATCAGAGAGTAAAATTTAAGGAGTAAAATTTGAGAGGAAATTTATAAAACTCGCTTAGTAATTTAGTGTTTGAAATTTGTGAGAGAAAAAGACAAGAGCAACCCTCTCTTTAATGCAAGTATGCAAGGACTGACCTGACAATCACGTGATCTCCTTTCCTCAATGCACTCAAATTTCTTCCTTCCTTTCTCAAATTCCACGACCACCCTTTCTCTCTCTTCCCATTTTCAGATTGTTTTTCACTCCTTCCACTGTCGTTTCTTAGTTTTCTCAAACTTGAACACTTCTTCTCGGAGGATTGAGCCGTTTCTGTGGGAGTTCTAGCTCCCCAGATCTATCTCTGCAAGGGTAAATCCCTTTATTTTTTAAATTTTTTGTGGGATTAGTTTAATTTTTGCAGAATGAAGCTCTCTTCTTTGTTTCTCCTTGAATCTGGGCATCTCATTTGGAAGTTCCGCAGCTAATTTTATGCATTTGTTACTGTAGATTCATGCTTAGCTTCTTGATCTTTCACCTGACAGTTTTCAGCTGCTCCCTTTTTTCCCCTCTGTGTTTAAGGACGTTTGTTTTGATTTAGCTTTGTTAGATTAGTGGTAGTTTAGAAAGTAAGAATTCAGAGTAAGTACCGTGTTTGTTTGAAAATTTTTGAGCTAAAAAGAGGGAAAAAAAAAACCCATCTTAAGAACTTACTTAGCTTGGTGAGCTTAGAGAGACATTGATTGTGCACGAATGGAATGTTCATCACATTCTAATTGCATGTTTCATGATTATTGAGTTGAGTTAGAATAATTGGGAGTTTCTACAGCACCTTATATATGGTGCTGCTTTGTACTCCAAATTACTAAATAGGGATTAGGCTGCCAATATAGTTGGGGTAAAATAAACCAATGCATTCATTTGATGAAAATTATCCATTTTTATTGCCATTTCCTTTTTTGGCAGTACAGTTTGACAACTACCGCCTCATATACAAATCTTGAATAAATATTTAGTGTTATAGCATTCAGTATGTGTGAACTGAGCATTCATTACACTTAAACTAGTCAAATGTTTTGTGCTTGGAAATTGATTTTTTAAAATTTTTTTTTTTAAAATTTTTTGTGTGTTTTGAGTTGCACTTTAGTTTCTCCGTTGAGTTTTACTTTAATTCCTTAAATGTATTCACAACATTCAAAATTTTGCACACTGGTATAGCAGTTTTGGTTCTTGAATTATACATCTGATAGTGCTCACAATTTTTGCTTGGCTACTGAAATATGAAGGAAAATGGGGTTACTTTCACGTAAGTTATTCCCTGCATGTGAGAGCATGTGCATATGCTGCCCAGCTTTGAGGTCCCGATCTCGACAACCTGTTAAGCGATACAAGAAGTTGCTGGCTGACATTTTCCCCAAGTCCCCAGTGAGTGTATACTATGTTGATTTTCTTGAGCACAGTTGATTTGTTATGTGTTAATGCCTTGGGTTGATTCTTTAAATTATTTGCTAAACATTAATTGGATGCATTGAGCTAATGTTTTTGTTTAACATAGCCTACTAGCCTATATTTGTTGATGGCTCATTTGAGTACAACTAGGTTATGAGTTTGGAAATTATAGTTTATGTAATCACCTGTCACTTGAGCAATATTGAAATTAGCTCCTCACACTCCCCCCTACACAACAATCTAATGGAAATTTAACAATTGATTTTGTTTACTCTATAAACAAAACTGAAGTAGTTGTTTAAAAACTAAAAAGAAGTTGAAGTGTCATAAAGGATAAAGACAGATTGATTTTTTCTCTTTAATGTTGTTGATTCCCTCAAAATCTCAGTTGCTTCAATGATCTGTTTGTATATTATGCATAGTTGATAGTATATTCAATTTAACATTTCTAACTGAATGCAGGATGGCTCTGCAAATGGAAGGAAAATTATGAAATTATGTGAATATGCTGCGAAAAACCCCTTCCGTATCCCAAAGGTACTAGCTTTATCATAGCTGGGTCCATGGACTTGTCTCTATTTAAGGAAATTTAGAAGTTGATGGTTACTTGTAATTATGCACTATCAGTGTCTTTTTTGTTCATATTGTTAGTTTTTGGAACATTTATCAGATTGCAAAGTGTCTTGAAGAGAGATGCTACAAAGAGCTGCGTAGTGGACACACCAAATTGGTCAATGTTATTGCAGAGGTTTACAATGAGTTGCTTTGCATGTGTAAGGAGCAAATGTAAGTTATAGGACTTCTATCAACTTTTCCTTTTATATATATATATATTATATATATATATATATATATATATATCAGAGAGTAATGCATATGAAAGATCTTGTGTATCACAAATATTCAGATGCAAGTCAAGATCTTTTATATGCATTATTTAGAAATTACTAATTAGTTATTTAACTTATTCTTCTTAGTCTTCGAATTAATTTAGGTAGTTTAATTATTTAGAAGTAAATTGGAAGATTTCAACAGATACTTAGCTTATTTAGCCATTTTATAAGTTTTATTTTACCCTATGAAAAGGGAACCAATTTCAATGAAAGGGAAGCAGAAATTTAATCCTGAAAAAGGGTCTAAGGAGTTTTGGGTTTCAAGCAAACCCAGTATTTTCTTTTCTTTTCCAACTATTATTCTTTCTTCATTTTTCCTTATGTTTTCTTGCCCGTGACGGGAGAACATAACAATTTGACAAGCCAGATGCTTCTTTTACTGCCTTTTCTAAGTTAAAACACTCCATTGGGATCACTTGAGCCCCATATTATTAGAAATGTATTCCCAGTTCTTGGTGTAATGCTTTATACTTAAGTTACTTATGATGCTGGGACATTATCATATAGCTGGTTTTCTAATAGCCTTGTATAATAAAGTAAACTAAGAAACATATTGAGTAGATATTCTCTTCCTACAAATAAGATTTTTGAATGTCAATTTCAGGGCATGTTTTGCTGTTAATCTGTTGAATGTTGTTGTTGAAATGCTGGATTGTGCAAAGACTGATGCTGTCAAGACTATCGGTTGTCTGACCTTTACTAAGTTTATCTACAGTCAGGTGATTTGTGTGCATGCACTCCGTCTTCAAATTGCTTGAGCATTGTGTTAATCAGGACAGATAAATTTTAACTGAAAAGTTACTGTGTGGAAAATTAATCTGTATATCATAAATGTTCAAAACATGATGCACTCCATCTTTAAGATTGATATGTTTCTATGTGGAATATAAGAAATTGTTTGCATGTTAGATTGTTAGAATTCACCATGGAACATGTGTTGGTCCTGATATGGTGCTCAAATTTTATTCCATCAATTTGATACAGTATGATTTATGGGGAAATGAGTAAAATCACGGTAAGCCATATTATGGCTATCAACTTGAATAAAAATCTGCTTTTGCTCTAAATCTTATTGTCACAATTCCACTGGTGTCAGAGACCTAATAGTTTAATGCATATTGCTAGAAACCAAGATGAGATGTTTGTGTCCAATTAGTTTGATCACTTTGCAGCAAATAATGGCATTTGTTTCAAATAGTGGAAGTGTTTTATGATATTGATCAGCCAAATGCGAACATATTTGTTGAATGTTGTTCTTTCTCTTCTTCCCTGTCACATTGTGTAGAATTACTTATTTTTGACTGACTATTTTTATATGAATGATGAACAGGTTGATGGAACATACACATACAATATAGAAAACTTGGTCCAGAAAGTATGTTCACTAGCTCGGGAGACTGGTGAAGAAGATCAAAAGCGCTGCTTGAGGGCATCAAGTTTGCGGTGCCTTTCAGCCATGGTTGTGGTGTTCTACTTCTGAGTTTACATTTCTTACATGCTGATTTAGTCCTCCTATTTGTTTCCTTATCCATTATATTTAACCATGTTTCCTTATATATATATATATATATATATATATTTTTTTTTTTTTTTTTTTTTTCAATTAAACAATTAACTGACAGAACCCATGATTTCACCTTGCAGGTATGGTTCATGGCTGAGTTCTCTCATATCTTTGCCGATTTTGATGAGGTTAGGGCACTCTCTCATGTTGTGTATGCATGTGTGTATATGTCAATTCATTAACAAGTATAGTTAAATTTATTTGATCAGACATAATATTGATTCTTGATTGGCCATAAAAATTTTTCAGAATTTCCCTCAATGATCTAAAGTGATATTAATACTTCTTTTCCCACCCCCCCTCCCCATCCCCTCTTTTTATATAGCCAGTCCAGAATGTGTAATCAATAATTTTAGCTAAAGATTTTGCAATTCAAGTTTATGGAGACTTTTTGCATTGAAAATTTTTTATGAACTATTGCAGATTGTACATGTTACTTTAGATAACTATGAGCCAGATGCCCATAATGAAGATGATGAAAGAGGGGAAGCGCACCATAATTGGGTGGATGAAGTTATTAGATCTGAAGGAAGAGATGTTGGGAATGAAAATAGACCTGGCTATCTCATTAGAAAGCGGCCAGATAAGAAGGATATCTCTCTATTAACTAGGTTGGTCTCTCTTTGAAGGGAATTCGCATTTATATCCAATTTAAAAATATTCTCTACTTCTCTTTTTACGAAATGAATTTTCTTTCATACGTTTTGACTACAGCGAAGAGATTGAGATGCCAAAAATATGGGCTCATATATGTATTCAGAGGATGGCTGATCTGGCAAAGGAGAGTTCAACAATGCGCCGAGTTTTAGATCCTATGTTCATCCACTTTGATAACAACAAACACTGGGTTCCCCGGCATGGATTGGCATTTGTGGTTCTGTCTGATTTGTCATACTTTGTGGAAAGTTCAGGTCACTTGCACCTAAAATATAAATATCCATATTTCTCATCATATTTCCCAATGCACCGGTTTTCAAATGTTGTTTCTTGGAGGCTGGATCATTCATCATGAAATTATTTTGGCTTCTAACATGCCAAATTCATACAAATGCTTGTTTTCTGATTTCAGGGAATCACCAGTTGATTCTAACAGGTGTGGTTAGACATTTAGACCACAAAAATGTGGCATGCGATTCTCAAATTAAGTCATTTGTCATCCAAACTGCTACTGCGTTGGCTCGTCAAATTCGATCGGGAGGTGGATTTTCAGATATTGGTTTTGTCAGTGACTTGTGCCGACATTTGCGTAAAAGCCTTCAAGCAACGGTTGATTTGGCTGGGGAGGAGATAAACTTAAATCTTACACTTCAAACCTCCATCCAAGAATGCTTACTTGAAACTGCCAAAGGGGTAACTAGTAACTACTATCACATTAATAAATTCTTTTCATTGGGAGTTTATCTTATTATTAATGCTTGTATTTTTGATAGATTTTAGATGCGCGGCCATTGTTTGATATGATGGCAATGACATTGGAGAAGCTTCCATCTCATAAAGTAGTTGCCCGAGCAACAATGGGGTCCTTGATCATTCTTGCACACACAATCTCAATAGCATCCTTGTCTTCAAATTCTCAGCAGGTAAGACCATAAAAAAATGATTTGTGAACTTAATCTGAGTCATACTTGATAAACCAAATAATTTTCGACTTCTTAATTTTTCTTGTGATTTGTCTTAAAATAGGTGTTCCCAGATGAACTTTTTATTCAGCTTCTAAGAGTGATGCTTCACCCCGATGTTGAAATACGTATTGGAGGGCACCATATCTTTTCCGTTTTACTTGTAACATCTTCCAACTATATGAGACATGATGCTCCTAGTCATACAAGGCGATGGAATTCGAGTGGCGCTTCTACGTTTTCCTCGATTACAGCTCTACTAGACAAGCTACGTAGAGAAAAAGATGCCACAAAGGAGGACAACATTGAGGAGGAAAGGAAGCAGGGGCGGGCCCAAAGGAATTCCCCGAATTTTCACAAACTGAATTCTATCATTGACCGGACAGTTGCATCGGCTAGCTTAACTGACACAGTAAGTATGGTTATTCTGCTATCATTGAAGCCTCTGTTCATTTGCATACGATATTAGTTGCGTGTCCTTGCCTTTCTAGAAAGACATTTACGTGGTTTTATTTGCACCCCTTTGTACAGGATCCATCGACTTTGAAGCTCAATGAGGATCAGATTACCCAGTTGCTATCTGCCTTCTGGGTACAAGCTAACTTGTCAGATAACTTGCCTGCAAATGTTGAAGCTATAACCCAATCTTTCTGCCTCACACTCATTTCCCTGCGGCTTAGGGTAAGGATTTAGATACTTGATTTTTATAGTTTGGCTGGTTGTTGTTTATATATATATATATAGGCCAGTGTTCCCGTGAGTCCACCCTGTTATATGAGTCGGTGTGGACAGATCTGGGCCATTGAATACTTGAGATTAATGGCTTAGATTTGACCAACTGTGCAATTTCGCAACTGTGCACGGCAACTGTGCACTACTTGCACAGTTCCCGTTGCACAGTTGGCGAAATCTAAGCCATTGATCTCAAACGTTATATATATATATATATATATATAAAATTTAATTTTAGATCTTGTTATTTGTGAGGCCAAATCATCTTGGAAATGAATAAGAGAAATGTGTGGTGGGATTTGATGCTTGCTTCACTGAATGCTTCTTTCAATCATTTCTTGGATGGTGGTGGTATAGGAGAGTGGACAAAGCCAAGAAATTTCAAACCATTTAAAAATCCATAGAGAGAGAATCAACACCTAGATGACAACTATAAACAGTTATTGTATGTTTTGTCTTTTTTCCCATGGAGCATTCACTATGTATGCACAATTATTGATATTATCTCATGGTTTCCCGATCTTGTTGCAGAATACGGAAAATAATCTTGTGGTCCGCTTTTTCCAGCTTCCCTTATCACTGCTGAAGATTGCATTAGAGCCTAATGGTATGAGAGTCTGATGTTACTAGTGAACCAATATTGATGTCGTAAATGGTCATATGCAGTAAATATGGTCCCGCCTTTTTGCAGAGTCCATGTCTCCAGCGTATCAGAGATTGCTTCTTGTATCATCAACTGCAATGTTGTCGTTTGTGGCAAAAATGTGTCAAGTTTCTGACTTGAATACTTTACTTAAACCATTAAGGGACTGCAATGTGAGTGTTTGTTTACTTTGTCAATTTCGTTTTAATTTTCTTAAAACCATCTATATACCCGTTTGTTTACTTTGTCACTCTTACTTTATTCTTCGCCTTTCAGTTATGTCACTAATTTCATTTGTTGTGTGTTTTACAATTACGTGCATATTAGCTTGATCCATTTTTGGGTGTTGGGGATGACTATCAAGTATACATGAAGCCCCGTGCAGACTTGAGAGAATATGGTTCTACTTCTGATAACCAAACAGCCGCTAAGTTCCTCTCTGAATTACGAAACAAATCCTTACAATCCCTGGAAATTATACAGAGTACTTTAGTCGAAAGCTTGTCTAGAATTACTCAGGTACATTTTTAGTTGATAAACCCCCCACCCCACCCCCTCCCAAAATAAGGAGTAGCAACTGATTTGTTTGTTTGTTTTTTTTTTTTTAAATATTCGTACCCTAGCTTGAGACAGATGATCTAGTTAAGGAGATGTCAGAGGGCTTCACTCCTGATGATACTTTCTTGTTCGGACTACAATCAATGGTTGACATGGATCATATCCAGGTTCTCGTACACTCCAGGGAGTCTCCTTCGTATGATGGGGTATGTTTTTGAATGTGTTTCTTTAGCCTATTTGTGGGTAATTAAGTCGATCAAGAATGCTTGAAGAAAGTGAAAAATACTGTTTTAGTGAGTTTCCTTGCTACTCTTGCTGCAGGATTTTCTTACAAACTCATCTGCAGAGGATGATAAAATTAGTGAATCCTCGGTTACTGACATGACCCGTTTCATGCCAACATCTCCATCGCCTTCCTCATCGCGTATTGTCAATATCGGGCAGCTTCTGGAATCAGTGAGTTCGATCTCTTACTTTTTCTGTTGTGCGTCAAAGTCAGTTGTGTCAATTTTTTCCAGTCGTGATAAGCTGTATTTGTTATAATAAGATCAAATCCTATACCACGGGTAGGCAACTGGTTGAACATAAAGTGGACCGAACCAGGCTCTGATACCATGTTATAATCTATAGATTGGGCCAAGGTCACTCAACTGCCAAACCACGATTGAATATAATCAAGTAGCTAGTCTAACCCATGACCTTATGATTCTGCTGTTTTCAGGCTCTCGAGGTAGCTGGTCAAGTAGCTGGAACGTTTGTGTCCACTTCACCGCTTCCCTATGGTGCCATGGCTAGCCAGTGCGAAACTCTAGGCACAGACACCCGAAAGAAGCTTTCCAATTGGTTGGCTCACGAAAACCATTATACTAAAGCTGCTGCTGATGTATTGCTTCCAGCCATTCCTGGAAATGGACTATTAACTGCCAAAAAGGTAAACTCAAACTCACACATTGTCTAACCAAAAGTTGATTTAATGTTCTTTCTTGATCATTCGCACCCTGGGTGGTATTTCAGGGAAACGTGATTCCAAACATATTTTCATAAATCTAGAGTTAATTTCTCTTTTGATCCCTCTGATTAAAGTAATGGATTTGACGGCTTTTGCTTTTCACATTAACATGATAATTCTTGCGGCATTTACAAAAACAACTTGTGTGCAGACGATCGATGAAGACTCAACCCTCCAGCAGGGTGTAATGGTGCCGAGAGAGCCATGGCTAGCCATTAGGCTACCTCCGGCCAGTCCCTTCGATAACTTCCTCAGAGCAGCTCGACGTTAAGAGGAGGTTAGTTGGTGGGGCCAGTGGCCATCGCCCATGGTTGTGAATAGCAGACTAGGAGTTTGAGGTTTGCTTTATGAATTGTATGTTTGTTTTTACTACTTAAGTGGGTTAGCTTTGGCTTATTTTCTGCACCCAACTTGTGAAAACCTAGTACTAGCTTTCATGATTGTGGAGTAATTAGGAAAAAAAGATAGTTTATCATCAATCTATCATTAAATCACTGGAAATTAGGAATGGTGTATGTGTTTTGAGTAAAGAAAGTAGTAACTTCCATTGCATATTTATATCACATCCAATATAATTATCACTAACAACTTACCCATGCTTTCCAACTATCATGTAGTGTGACGACACCTCTGTTATTATTCTACCATTTTTTTAAAAAAAACTTACCACCATGCTTTAATGCCCATTGTTGATGCATAAATGTAACGTTACATTAACACAAATGTTTTTGATTGGAATAGGACTACCATCATTATTTAGAAGTAACTTCAGTCAAGTTGGCTAGATTATTGATTTTGGTAATCATAATGTTAAAAGTTTAACTATAGAGTGGTTTTTTTTACCTTTTTTTATTTAAGCCGGTCAGTTATAGACAACCTAGATTGTCTTACCTCTTTGTAGTCTTGACTCTTGACTATTCATTGCGGGTGGTCATTTCCTAATAATTTTGCTGAGCTTGTTATAATTGAAGTCTTTAGTACTTCTTTGTAGAACATACATTGACAAATATCCTCTCGTGATTGAATTTGTTAAGCAACTAAATTCAATTGTTACATTTTTATTGTATCTCAAAAGTTTTTATATGTTTATCCTGTTACTTTGGTAAAGGATTTAGGAAAGTGAACCTAGTTTATGCTTTGAAAGTGCTATCCAGTTTTTATTCTCTTTATCCTTGTTCTTACTAGAGCAATATATCTAACAGAAGTCATTTCTTTAAATGAAATTAGTTTCAAGTACGAGAATCCAATGCCTCAAAAGTCCAAGGGTTCTTTGGCAAGGTTCATCTATGACAGTCTAATTAAATAAATCTACTTATTAAGCAACTTAATTTGGCCAGTAATAGAATTATGTTGGTTTGGTATTAAAACAAACTATACTATTCATGTATTAATGAGTCATAACTAAGCAATAGAAAATAATATTCTTCCCAAATATAAAATAATATTCTTCTCCCAAATACAAAATAATATTGATTCTACACTTGTGGGGCTGGATTTAGTTGGTTATATTGATGGCACAATTAAAGAGCCAGCTTTATTTTCAGATGCCGAACGCACAATTCATAATCCATCTCATTCGATTTGGATCGTTTAGTGTTGTAAAAATCGCTCTAGGCTAAGCACGTACTTTTAGGCCAAGGCGATTCCAGCTCTAGGTGGTTTTTAGTTAGCTGGCTGACTAATTGACCGACTAGGTGTTTAATTCGGCACTTAACTTTGCCTAGTTGGCAACCAACTAAGCTGAGTTGGCGTCAAATTCGGTTGAGTGGTTTTTTTTTTAACTTGCTTGGTTGCTCTTCTTCAATATTCCTTCAGTCATGTATTTAACTAACCATCTAACATATGTAGTTGACTAGTTTGTGAGATTATACTAGACTAAGAACTCACAACCTTGAGTGGGAAAAGTGGAGATGATATACTCGAATTACTCGACAGCCTAGGAGGTGCTTACGTATTGCTTAGACATTCTAGGCGGTAGGTGCCTCCAAGCGCCCAAGTAACACTTTGTGCCTTCTGCAACATTAGTATCATCAAGATCAAATCATAATATAATAGGATAATATATTACCCCAATCCCTAAACATATAGGATTGTTTTATTCTCCCAAGCCTAACCAAGTAACCATATTAGGATAATAAATATATGGATTAAATAAGTGGCATTCAAATATTTGGTTATTGATTTTCAAAAAATATTTGGTTATTGGGTCTAAGTTTATTAAAAACATTAGTTATTAGTTTAATTGATTTGATTAAAACTTTTAATTTTCTTTGAATGAACTAAATTAATAATAAACAAAAATATAAAATATATTTATGACGATTTTACAAGACCGTATAAAAATATAAATAAGACATGTAAAATAATAATAATATTAATCGGAACATCAAGCCCAAACACGCTACTTGGAGATATGAACTCAAGTATTGTGGTTGGGAAAATAGAAACGAAACCAATGGACTAAGCACCCTATTAGTGATTACATGATGTTAGAAAGGGATCGTTATGCTGTGCATCTGTGTGCACCATGCATGGTACATACAGATACAAAAACGACGTCGTTTTGACTAAAAACACGCGTCCCACTTAAAAAAAAAAATCAGTTTCGATTCCTCTCAACAGTATTATGTTGTTCATTGATTTTGGATTTTTTGTTCATTGATTCTGGATTTTTAGTTTATTGATTCTGAATATTTAGACGGAAATCGAAACTGATTTTTTTTTCATGCATGCTAGATATTTAGTTCATTCATTATGGATTTTTAGTTCATTCCTTATGGATTTTTAGTTTATTCATTATGGATTTTTAGTTCATTGATTCTGGATTTTTAGTTCATTGAGTCGGGAATCGAAATTGATTTTTTTTTTTAAGTGGACGCGCGTTTTTGTCAAAACGATGTCGTTTTTGCATTGGTGCACACGGATGCACAACATAATTTGCCGTTAGAAAGGGCCAAGAGGCCCTATTTATAGTGTCTGTCTGCAACCTTTGAAACGAGTGATTGTCATGTCTCGATCAACCATGTTCACCCATAAAACGAGTAGTTGTCATTCCTCAATCAACTCCATTCATTCACTTGTCATCACCACAAGGTGCCACCCCACACCCCTCTCCTTAGTTGATTTTTACCGCTTTTTTTAATGCTACTAACTCTATTACAATGTAGTATCTGTTCATAACTACTTTCGCAAACTACTGAACACAAAAAGTCAATAACACCTCCATTGAGGTTCAAACTTACAACCTCTCATATGAGAGTCCAACTCGGGTGCTATTAGACTACAAAGTCTTGGCTACCGCTTTTAGTTACACAAGAAACATGGTAGACTAGCTGGAGTAAGGTATACTTGTGCCCTTCTAAGTGAGAGATTTCAATCTTAGTAGTGCATCTTCTTTTTCTTTCCTTGGCCCAATTCTTATTGGGCCTAGAGCCATGGCTCTATCAACTTACTTGCCCAATATCCTAGATTGGGCAATTTATATCGTGCACCAGGGGCGCATTGTATTGTGTGCCCTGATACAAAACGACGCCGTTTCAGATTTTTTTTTTTTTTAAAAAAACTTCGCTATTCTGTATTGGCGGTTAATTTTTTCTTTTTTTTTTTTTAAATCTCATGTTAAAAAATGTACATAATTTTATACTAGAATACACATAATTGTATAACAAAATACACATACTTTAAAAAAAAAAAAAAAATAATACACATAATCTAACATAATACATAATATACATAAACTTTTAACATAATACACATAAATTTTCTGTTTCGAATGTACATAATTGTATAAAAAAATGTACATAATTGTATAAAAAATGTACGTAATTGTATAAACAAATGCACATTATTGTATAAACAAATACACATAATCATGTCAACTCCCTACATAACTTACCAAAATGACGTCGTTTTGGGAGGCACGGGGCGCAAAGTGCTATGTGCACCGTGGTGCAGGGTATAACGCTTGCCTAGATTGCGCAAATTATTCTGTGGACTTGGGTCCACCTTGCAATGTGGATTCAAGGTAGACTCGGGTCTAAATGTTCACAATTTATCTTTTAAAAATTCACAATTTGTATAGTACGAACACACAATGTTAACATATATGTAATTGATTACCTTGTTTTGTATTCACAAGTTCATTTGAAATACTGCAGTCACACAATATTAATAGATTAGGATTTGATGACTCTGAATTGTATTCACAAATTTCCTTCTATAGCTGTTATGTTTTTTTTTTTTTTTTTTTTTTTTTTTTTTGACTTAGAAACACAATTTATATTCTAGAAGTTCACAATTTCAATACTAAAACTGCACAATTTATATTCGTTTAGGACCATGGTATATCTGCTTGGAATCTTTTTTATGTTCATAGTATAATTTGTGGCAAATTATACTGTGGACCGCGGCCCACAATGCATTGTGGTCCAAGCATCAAATATGCATTGCAGTTTCATTTCAACACAACTACAGTATCATTTTGATATAACTACAGTTTCGCTGGACAATATACACTCAAATATGTGAAATTGTTATTCAGTTTCATTTTGTATATACTGCAGTTTCATTTCAACACAACTACAGTTTCATTTCAATTCAATTGCAGTTCTATTTGATAATATAATACGAAGTAAAAATAATACGTGAGACAATGTCAGTTTAGATACATTATAGTGTCTGCCTTTTTGGACTATGGTCCATAAAGCTTTGTGGACCGCGGTCCACAGTATAATTGCTGATAATTTGCTTATGGGACAAATTATACCACGGATCAGGGTCTACCTTGCATTGTGGACCATGGTCCAAAAATAATATTCAAATTCTGTACATACAGTTGATACATTCTGTATCTACAGTTAACCGTTTCTGTACCTATAAACAATTTGGAGGCACATCACATGGTAATTGCAGACATGTAAAATGATAATTACATGCACATAAATTGTTAACTACAAGTACATAATATGTTAACATAAGATGTTGATTAACATGTTATGTGTCTGCAGTTAATATATTATGTATCTACAATTAACAATTTATGTGTATATTGAATATCATATTAGTGCCTTTAATATATTTACAGGTATAGAAATATTAACTGCAGGCGCAGAATGTATTAATCACAGACACATCATTTTTAAAATATGATTCACAATACAATATAAATCATGGCATATGGTATAACAAACGTTATGCCATGGAACCGTGTTCACCATTCATGGTGAACACGGTTCCAACGGTGTTAGTACACCGTTATCTTTTTTTTTTTTTTTTTTCTTAATTAATTGCGTGACTTTTCTTCTTTATTTTCACATTTTGCGGTTTCACTTTAATTTGAGGTGAACAAAGATTTCGGACATTCATAAATTATGAATTCATGCCTGCACATTCACTTTGGAACCATGCCTACACATTCCCGTCCGAAATCACGGACATTCATAAATTATGAATCCATGCCTGCACATTCACTTTGGAACCATGCCTACACATTCACTTTGGAACCATGAGATTATGAATTTTCTGTTATAAGATTATGAATTTTCTGTCATGAGATTATG